GGACAAGTTGCTGCGGACACACACACACACACACACACACACACAGACAACCCCGTAACAATATGCATTTTGTACTGCTGTTGCACAGCACAAAACGCATAAAAAAGTTATTGCATTACTTTGCAAGATGTGTTTTTAAATGGAGCTGTAGCATTCGAAGCGGACATCCAAATGGACAGGCCGGTAAGAAATTGGATAACTGTTCTTCTTTAACCACTCAGTGCAAAGCAAAACAAAGAAACATTGAAACACTGATATTATGTAGAAGTTACCTAGGTAACTACGCTAAAGTCTTGAGAAGGAAACGGTATTTTATGCATACCTTTTCAAGGTATATGCGAGTTTTCTGTGAGGACTCATATGTTCGTAATCCGTATGTGCGCTATCGTCAGTGTACTATTTATCCTTCCATACCCTAGTTGATTTCTGACGTACAACTTAATGACTTTGTAATGTAATACATGTGAATAGTTCTGGTCAAAAGTGGAATTATTAGTTAGATGTCAAGATTTGAGCTTAGACAGAGCTTAGAGACTTTGTTTAGGACTGACTTGGTACATCTTTTGATATCGGGGAAGAAAATCCAAAAAAAAGAGGTTACGAGGAGAACTTTTTTGGACGAGCGGGATAACGGTGCTTGCGTACCATTTCAGGACTACAGTTTTAACAATTTGATGGACGAATACAAATCGCTAAGCGAAGACCATCTTCATTTTGCAGTTGATCCGGTCTATTTTTTGTTAAAACCTCTACTGAAGGTGTTTCTGCACTTTGTTGTTTGTGAATCTTCATAAACTAAAGATATTTTTCTTGTTATATCTACTTTAGAAAACCGGAATCATCATATCTTTATCTTCAAATCGAATATCTAAAAATTTCTTCTTATTTCCTTTTTACAAATAGGAGCGGCGGAACATCGGTATAGCTGGTCGAAGCGGTGTTGGAAAATCCGCACTGATCAACGCTATCAGGGGCTTATCATACGGTGATTTACATGCGGCTGGCCGTTATCCATCCGAGAGGATGGAACCGTTTGTATTCATCGAAGGCGAGCTCCACAACATTATTCTTTGGGAAATACCGTATCCAAGAATGCTAAGCATTGTCTCGGAAGATTGTAAGAGAATTGGTGCCTTCGATCGACTATACGAGTAGGTTATAGTGTATTCCTCAAATGTTTCTTTTTTACTCTCTTTGTTAGCTCGGTTTATTCATTCTTCCGAGTATTTTGAGTCTCGGGCCGTTTAAAAAATATATTTTTCAGCAACTGTAAGCTGCAGTTTTTCGAGATTATATTCGTTGTATTAGGTAGCGGTCACATCCAGGACGACGACGTCACATTCATTCAGAGTCTGCATAGCCATAAAACAAAATTTGCGGTGGTGAGTAGCAAGACTGATGAGCAGTTGGATCTGGAATCCCGAGAAAGTCGACAAGAAATCTGTAATCGTCTGAAGCAACGGTATGCTCGTCGAGGTAAGTCTTATTTGTCATGGAAACGTTTGAGTTATTCTTAGATGCCACTATGGAGCAAAATATTTCTTACAACATTTGTGAGATCGGGAAGTTTTTAAAACGGCCATGGTCTTTTTTTTGATGGGGCAGTTATATGAGGTATCAAATCCTCCAAAGAAATTGCTAATGATGATAGTCTGTATCAACGTCAGTTATGTTGTATCAATGTTAATTATGCGG